AGAATGTTTATTAAATTGATAATTATTGGTAGAAAATTTCTACTAATTCAACGAATTGCTAGCTCTGTACATCTAGTCTTAATTTAGATTTAATTTTAATTATTTAATTGATTGATTCAAATATTTGATTGAAATACAACTTTTGAATTCTTAGTTTCGAGGGGCATTAATCTAGAGAGAAAAGTTTCTCTAATGGATTTGTTTACGATAGAAAATTTCAAATAATACAGTATCTTAGTATCTAATTGATAAAATTGTTTAATTTAGTTACGTTAGGGGTAGCGATGTGAATTTCTAATTGTTAATTATGAATTGTTATTAACGATTAAAAATTAAAAATGAATTATTAAGTTAATGATTATAAATTAAAAATGAATTATTAAGTTAACAATTCTTTGTTAACAATTAATAATTGAATTATCCAATATGTATAGAACATCTTTATCGAAAGTGATAGAGCCAGTAAATTCTATATAACTTTCAAATGTTGAAACTTTATCGTAAAAAGATATTTATTATCAGTCTTTTAACCAAGCATTAAATTGAATACCTAAAAACTACTATTCATGGGTATATTTATTGAATTAAGTATATATCTAATAATTACTGCACATTAGCGTATTTTAACCAATTATTTCTAATATTTTAAAATGAATGCCTTAGAACTTTGATTAGTTACTAATTATGTTGTTCTATCAATACCTTCTATGCATTTTGGATAATTCAATTATTAATTGCTAGAAATGAATTATTAAGTTAACAATTCTATGTTAACAATTAATAATTAGAAATTCCTATCGCTAGTTAGGGTTAACTCGATCTAAAAATATTTTTTTGTATTGTATTTGTTTTTCAAGTTACATTTTTCTTATGAGACAATACAAAAAAATATTTTTAGATCAAGCAAATTAATGTATAGAAGCTAAATTTTTTAGTGACAACAATTGCACATGGCTTAAATTTGTATGTTAATTTTTGGTAACCAAATCGCAATTAAAAAAAAGTTAAGCTTATAACTCACCATTTATTTTTTTTAAAAAAAAACAATGATTGATATTCTTTGTGACACTTTAAGTACTCTTGCTATCTGCATTTTTGACGAAGATTCAAAAAATGATTTTTTCTCAAACGCTTTTGGTGATTACTCAGTCCCTGAATCTTTTTCTCTAATTTTTGGTTATGCTTTTTCTGAAGAGGATATCAATGAAGCAATTGAACAACTTCGAAATGAAAAGGCAACAATTAACGAAACTAATAGCGAAATTACCTCCAATGAAAATGACAGGACATTACATAAACGAATCCTATTATTTACTACGTTAAACAATTTTTTTAATATATTATAGAGAGCTAGAGTGTGTCTCATGTATTTTATTCCTTGAACTCGTTCAATATCATAATAGTTTTTTTTAAATACGTTGATTAATACGTATACTTTTCACGATATTGATATGGAGATAGCAAATTATGATAATGGATTTTTTACTTAATCTGTAATATTGATTTAATTTTTTTTTTTGAATTAATCTGTAATATTGATTCTAATTATTCTATGAAAGTTAATTTACATTATTTCGAAACATGTGTGGGACGATATAGTGGAAGTCCTTTGTCCTCTAAAGTTTTAAAACAAATATTTCCTTTTTGAATATCATGGTTAAAAAGAACCCTTTTTTTATTTCACTTTGGTAGATTCAAATAAAAATGGCATGAGGCTTATTAATATTGATACTTAACTAACTTATCATGTGACTTATTTCAGCATCCACTGATGCTAAAATATCATGATATTATAATAACTCGAAATTTCATGAATAAAATCAACATAGATTATTGGCACAGATGACGATTCACCAGGATGGTCCTATGGAAATAAAAGGAATTATGTGAATATTGTGATTGCTCTGAATGTAAATGTGGAAAGGCAACAGAGGTCACATCCTCATATGTGATGGTCTTTGTGGAAAAAATTTTCATACCAGATGCCTAAATCCTCCGCTCACAAGAATACCGGCTGGAAATTGGTATTGAGGGAATGTTAAAGTGTGAAGTCAAAGACATCGAAACGTAAAGTGTAACTTGATTATTCAAGCTCAGATGAAGTTGATAATCAAAATGCAGAAAAAGTGACAAAAGATATAATGATTGATTAAGAGATTGGAGAAAAGCAATGTAAATAAAATATTAGTATGTAGAATCGTCCACAATTTGCCATAAAGGTAAACCAGCAATAATCAAGAATATAATAGTTGCAGCCAGATGTTCATTGATACTTGTTCAAAGATTGAGTTGGCAAGTAATTTATTATAGACCCACCTAGACTAAAAGATATGGCAAGGAATAAATTTGCTGAACTGATTAAAAAAAATTGAAGAGAAAGAACCAGCAGATAATATTGATTATTATAAGTTATCTGATGAAAGCTTAAAGGAATTAGAAGAGGAAGGGCTTTAAAGATTATGTACAGTAGTTCAAAATTTATGATTAATTGGTTTCTATTATGCAAATTATTTATTATTCAGATGTTTTTTATTAATATTTTATATTGCGCGTTTTCTTTTTCATAAATTTAATTATTAATAGGTAATAATAAGAAAATTATTAGGTCGAGAAATTATTAATTCTGTTTAAGCCACATTTGTTAATAATTATGAATGAATGTGATATCTATTTTCTTCTTCGTAAATCTTACGAATAATCCCTGTTTATTGTTATCATCTTTTAATGGATTTTTAGAGTTTAATAATAATAGTAAAACCTTTCTTTAAGAAAATGCAATTGCATCTTTTTCGTAGGAAGATAATAATTATTAATAGTGCGAACATATTATTAAACATTGCATAAAATAAAAACTTTTGATAAGTGATTTTATTAAATAAGCAGCTCTTTAGTGGCAAGAGATCTATCTGTCTTTATTATTATTATTAACCATTCGGATAAAAGACCACTATCGAACTTTTTTCCTTTTTTGTATTAAATGTTGGAATGTTATTCACTTTACTTCCCATCATTATCATCGTTTTCATAATTTTCACATCCATCGCTACTTGCACTTTCTTCATTAGCTTTCTTTTCTTCATTTTCATAATTTTTACATCCATCACTACTTTCACTTACTTCATTCTCTTCTGCTTCGTCTTCGCCTTCATCTCAATTTATATTATATTTTGTGTTTTTTTGCTTTATGAAATAATCTTATGTTTACTAAAGTTTCCTCTAGCGTACTTTTAAAGACGGTGCACGACTTTAATTTACATTATTTGTTAATTTATTTTAAGAAATAATCTACTTGTCGCCGGTGGTGACAGTACCCGATCGTTAATCAGTTTATCGTAGAATTCATTTTAATTCCAACACATCATGGGATCTACCAAGCCGATTTTGATGATTTAACCTCTATTAGATCCAGAAAACCAAACTCTACAACTTTAATTAGAAGCCTAGAAAACCTTTATTTAATAAAATTTTTTGAAAATTAATTATTACATGATTTTAAATTATTATATGTAATAACTATTATTACAATTATGGCTTTAAAAAACTCTGTAAAATATATGTAATAAATATTATGGCACCATACTTTATACTACACTATAAATAAAAAGTCAGCATTATACTTATTGGAAAAATATGAAAGCAAAACTCACACAGTTGACAAAGGCTTCAAACTATTATTAAGTTTTGCACTTCAAAAAATGGCACTTGAACTTGTTTTTTGTTAACAAAGTCAATCTTTTGGACTTGTGGCAAGCAATAGATTTCATTCATTCTAGAAGTGGTGTTATTAAATAGACCAGATGAACCATTCAATTCGATAACTGCATCTGAATTTTTGGTGATAGTTTCAAAAACAGTTTGACATTCTGAACTTTGTATTTGTTTTTTGTTAAAAAAATCAATCTTTTGGACTTGTGGCATGCAATAGATTTCATTCATTCTAGAAGTGGTGTTATTAAATAGACCAGATGAACCATTCACTTTGGTTGTTCGCAAGGATTGATCTATGTTTTCTATAACCGAAGAAGAGTCATCATTATGTCGCAAATTTATAAGATTCTTATTTGTAGCTTTATAAAATCGATAATAAGGTTGGATAGAGTATATTTTTGCTCTTTTTTTAATTGTATTCTTCAGAATTGAGGGATTCGTTTAATTCAGCAAAATGAAATTGATAGTTATAAGGGTTAAAATTGAACTTAAATAAATATGTAAATAAATATGTAATTATTAGTTCTAAGTGAGAACGAAACATAAACTTCGAATCAGTAAAAATTCGGTTTCCAGTTAAATCAAAAATTTTTTTAGAGATATTAAGCAAAAAAGAAACTGAAAGCCTGTTATTATTGGAAATTGCAGGCTTAAATTTATTGACGTGGTTATCATTATTGATAATTTTTCGAAATAATAATGCGATAGCAACATTTATAATGGAAAGAATAAATAAATTTGGAATAAATATTAAAATAAATACTGCAATGAATATTGCAATAGTTGATAAAAGAATTAATATGAATATAACAAAGGTGTCAATAATTCATTTATCGATTCTTCGCAAAATATTCAGAGTTAAATAAATCAAATTTTCTGAAATCATTTTGATTGAAAATTAATTAGGAGCTGGACGTTTTCATGTTCCTTTTAATAGCGTTTTATCGTAAATGAAATCTCATAATTCGTTTAACTTTTTTGCATCATTCTTAGCATCATTCAATTGTCTTAATAAATTAGCTGCTTTTTCATAACCATGATCTGCGGATAGTTTTAAATACTTCATTCCAAGCTCCTTATCTGACTGTACTCTAAGTTTGCCTTTAATATAAATATCCACCAAGTAATACATTGCATTAGCGTTTTTATTATTAGCAGCCAATTTAAAATAATGTAAAATTTCAATTCTGTTCTCTTCTTTCTTAGGTTCAGGATCATCTTTTTTAAGATCCGAAAGTAATGCAACAGCATACCAACATTGTGCATCAGAATGATCATTATCAGCAGCTTCTTTAAAAAGTTTTTTTGCTCGTTCTTTATTTATTTTTATAACATCATATCCATAAGTTAAATAATATCCTAACCAATATTTTGCAATTGGATCACCAAGTCCGGCATTGTCTTCGAAACATTTCAAAGCAGCTTTGTGATCTCTGCTTTTATGAAGTTTAATTCCTTTTTCGAGTAATATTAAAAAATCAACTGATGGACAATCCACTTCCATCGTTTTTTCAACTTTTGATGCTTTATCTTGAAAATGAGTTGTTGATATTTCAGGTGCTGAAAGATTTGCAACTAATTTTTCAAGTGTTAAATGTAAGCTCGCAAGAGATATTCGCTGATGTGGTTTATGATGCCATACTATTTGTCAATTAAAAAGAATAAAAAGTCAGTATTAAGACCCGTGGGTCGATACGCAGTGGTTAGCGCTCCTGGGTCACAATCGCAAGGTCGCGAGTTCGAGTTCACTGGGTAACAAACGGCTCTGCCAGGACCACGATTGGCTAAGATCTTCGAAGGATTTTTCATTAAAAAAATGAAGAACAAGATTTGTACAAGTTGCAGTCTGCCAGCATAGCCACATGGCCGAGGACGACCAGATAAGGCGTAATCCATCAACAAACGATGCTAAAATTGAGAAAAACCCAGCTTAAGGATTACTAGAATCAAGAACATCAGATATAAAAGGACAATCTGGCTTGTGGGTCATGTGAAGTTAGGGAACTGCGGATCTAGAAAATGTAGATCCTACATCACAGCACCAAAAACCCAGGACGTTATATGACGTACTTAACGGAGCATAAGTTATCTCACCAAGTACGGTGACATATAGGTGGCCAATTCGCCATACCAGTGATCTCCACAGATACGAAAACTCTGGCCTTTGAGAGATGTGAGAGATCCGAAGGTGTCTAAGGACCTTCGAGATGCAGAGCGAGGTTAAAAAAAAAAAAAAAAAAAAAAAAAAAAAAAAAAAAGTCAGTATTAAAAATATATATATTAGTAAATAAAATAAAATTTATTTAAAATAAACTTACTTTTGTTAATAATTTTAATAAATTCTTGTTGAATTCTTTTATCAACAGAATCATTAAAACCTTTAAATGAAAGTTTTTCTCGGTTATCACTTAAAACATGGTCAGATATTTCTTTAACATCCAAATTTTCATAAGGCAACTTTTCGTAACAAAGTTCCCATATTAGCATACCAAAACTAATTTCCAAAAAGAAAAAAAATAATGAGCAGGGAAACTTGAAGAACAAGGAACCAAGTAATCATCACATCCACGTGAAGTCATGCACGAGGCACACTTCGAGACTACGTGAATTTCAACAATACTGTAGTCATTATAATAAATACCTAAACATTTCACAACTAAATGTATATACATTTTCATCATGTCTATATTTTTCATATCTCTCAAGCTGTTCAGGAGCCATCCAACGAATTATATCTGTTACTAAACCTGAAAGATTTCTAACCTTCACATTCATTAATTCACGAGTGCACCTGAAATTTCCAAGTTTTGGAGTCAAATCTTTCGATATCTATAATTTTGATACGTTAATAAATTAATAAATTCTCTATATATTAAATCTCGGTTAATTTTATTTAATTATATTTACAAAAATATTCCTGCATCTAACGTCATAATGAAAGACATTTAGTCTACGTAGGACTACAATACCACGACAGATATCTCGAACAATTTGCATTTTTCTAGTCCAAGAAATATAGTAAGTGTTATAAAGTTCTTTTAAAGTTCCATTATAAGCCCATTCAATTACTAACACTTTAATATTATCAACACTTGAGAGACCATAAAAACGAAGAATATATCATGATTGCAATTTTTCAAGAATTGATAATTCAGTTTCTTGATTCTTATAATCACCAATGGGTTTGTATACAACTTCAAAATCACTATATAACTTCTTAACTATACGACTATGATGGTGATTTTCAATTTGACTAAGAGGTTCAAGTAATTCACTTGGAGTTATTTGTTGACATTGTTGTTTACCCGTTTAGATTTTTATTATGGATATTTCTTGAGCTATTATATCGATGTTTCGAATTTTTTCACGATCATCAATATTTTGAAGAGTCTAACAATAGATTAAAAATTTTTTAATTACTAAATTTAAATTGATATATTTAAATATTAATATTACTCACTTCTTCAACTTCTTTTAAATCTTTATCAACTTTTTCAATATCAAAATCACTATCATTAACGGCTTTAAGTCAAATTGTAAACTCTTTATACACTCGCTAAATTCATTCATCAATTTTAGATACTTATTCTTAACTTCTTTTGCATCAAGATACTTTTTATAACCTCTAAGTGTTGACACATTTCTTATATATTCTTTGATATTCGTCAGAGTAATTTTAAAACTTTTGAAATTCATATAATAGCTGTTTGAATAAAATTCTTCATATTACTATCCATGTCTATCGTATTCATATTGAATTCAGCCATTCTTAATCTATTTATTATTATAGAGCAAATTTCTTTGTTGCATTCTGCATTCTCATAAATTCTATGTATATCACTAACTAGATATTTCACAGAATTCATTAGAGGAATATAGGATGATAAAATTTCAGGAATGGATAAATTCCAATCCTGTTCTCTTTTCTGCATCTTGTTAAATAAATAAAAAATAAAAATTTGAGATTATTATAAACATAAACGTAAGAATGTTTTTATTAAGAAGGTGAATAATTCCTAGTACTTTTGGACAAAAAATGTAAGTTTTTATATATAGAGGTGGTATTGTTGTGAAATAAAAAATTAATTTTTTGATCAGTCAAAATTTTAAATGATAAATTAATAGCTGACAAAAATTACAACACACAACATTGTTAAACAATTATAATTCAATCGAACAATTGTTCCGATTATTGTATTTTATAGAAATAAATATAGTTCTTTTTACAAATATTCTATCAGCAGATTCTGCGTTTTTGCATTATAATTTATTATGATAACTTTTTAGTTATTATAAAATTCAGCTTATTTTTCAACGGTCTATGAACTGACAAATGTAATTATTTTAGACCGTAAGTATTTATTATAAACTATTTAACAGCATAATTATGATCAGTTTTTTTTAAGATTTGAAGGAAAATAGTTTTTAATATGGTTTATATAGAATAAAATAAATTTATATAGTAGTTGACATAAAGAGAATACATTTTTTCATTTGTTAGTTCTACAGTCAAATCGCTATAATTAATTGTGCCTATTTTTAGGCTTTTGAAATACTCATTATACAAACCATTTGCACAAAAATAATGACCTAATTTTTATACTGTACTCGAGTCAACTCGTAGCTTAAAAAACATAGCCTCGACTCAAGTTAAGACTATGTTTTTAAGCTACGGTTGACTCGAGTCGAGTTCCAAACTTTGGGTATGTTTTGATTGACGACGCCTCAAATTAAAGATACTGTACACGTCATAGTATTTCAGCATCAATGGATGCTGAAATAAATCACATGATAGTCAGTTAGGTATCGATATCAAAAAGCCTCTCATGCTTTTTTATTTACGAAGCTAGCCAATCAGAAGAATTTCTGCCTGTGATTCTAGATAGAAGATCTAAAAAATTAGATCCATATCGATATGAGCTACAAATTAGTCGAAAAATTATAAAATTTCTTTTCACCCCTCACTTTATGATACATGAGACCGTTAAAGATGTGAATACAAAAACAAGAATGAACCCGTTAAAGATGTGAATATATTTACTAAAAGCATATCGTTATTACGAAATTTGCTTAACGACTTTGTTTTTTCTCTTTATGGAATATTTTAAATACCAGCATCCTTCGTCTTATTCTTTTTTTAACTATTTGAGATGCAATGTAAATGACTACCAGCAATGGAATAAAAGGACAGCAATGTTCACTAGATATTG